GATGTTGATCGGCTGCGACGACGCAAAACGTAGATTCAGCTATCGATCTTTCCCTTTCATCTCCTTCGCGTGGACCGCAGTGGCCGTGTATTTGCAAACAATGTGCACACGAGCCATTGCTTACCGTACAAGACGTTTATCGGTAGATTCGGTTGGCGGACGTTTGATGCCACTGCGTAATATTGATCGTTGGCCAGATTTTACGAGCAAATATGATAAGATCGGAAAGAGATTATTTGTATCCAAAAAGCTTGAAAGCTCGTGTGTGAGCGATGAAGAAAGCAATGTTCATGTATCTTGCGCGAAAGGAAATATCATAAACTTTGAGTGACGAGTATAGAGTGCTTGAATCGAGATGAAATCTATACTCTATGCGAATTCGAAATATTCTCTATTTAAAAGATTATAAAGTTAAATAAAAGATTAAACATAAAGATCAATATATTCTGTTTCTGGACAAAATCGCCGAATTATACACGCGATCTCGCGCCGGCGGATCATCTTTAATGGACTCCGGAGAGGGAGTTTTCCTCGAGTTGGAAAATATTAAATTTTATGCGACGGATGCGTCCGCCCTCCCCCGCGCCTCGGGAAAAAGCAGATGAGAGGATAAGAGTCGAGGATGGCTGTGGGTCCCGTCGAAGAACGCGGATTCGGAACACTTCCGAATGCACATCCCCAATGCATTCTGATATTACCCTGCGACGCGCGGGAGAGAACTGCGCGCTTCCGCCGCCTCTCTTGCAATTGTAATGAGCGTCCGCTGCGCGCGACGTAGGGATTTGCCGGCAGTAATAGCATGCAAACATCCTTGCGGAGGGAATACGAGGACGGTCCCGTCCCTCTTTTCCCGGCAGCAGTGCGCGACGTCACGACGAGTTAATACATCTGCCCACCAGACACGGAGGACCACCAGGACGGTGTCCTCTCGGGCGAACGTTGACGACGGCAGGAATTTTCTCGCGTTTTACACCGACGTGCACGGCTGCACTCGGGGGTTTCCGCTCTCCGCGTCGTAAAAATCCCTGCAACTGATGTTCCGCTCTCGTCGCTAACGCTTCGTCTTCCCGCGGACACTAGGCAACGTGTGCAACGAAGGGCATCGCGCAGCGAAAGGACGGCTGGAAGATTTGTAATAATATGCGGCAGCTTTTTAACAGTCTCTTATTTTCACATTTAATCGTCATTTCGTTGCAATTATTATTAAATATTTATGAAACTTCCCCGCAAAATGTCATGTGTGTTCAGCCATATGGAAGATGGTTAAAATCCTTTTATATTTTTCTTCTATATTTCCGCTCATTTCCAAATCCTTTTGTTTACGACCTACGATTTTTGAATATGCCGAGTATCATTTTAGATTTATCTTATATTGTATTAACAAAAGCACGCTGCAAGTTTACTTTTATTTCATCGCGTGATATTTTTGTAGATTTTCGCACATGGCGCAAACATATCTTTTGCAGTTTTTTTTAATGCAAAACAAAGATGGTTGTCAAGACACTCGCTCGTACTTTTTTCGCAATAATAATACGACAAGCGGCGAAATGGAACGAAAACATGGCGGTGGAAAAATCACGTTTACCGAACAAATTATAAGAAAATAGTTATGACGAAGTTGGTACTAGCGTGATGTATAAAATGACGATCTTTCTCAGCGCACACTAAGAAAAATATAGTAAGTCGCAGTTTGCGACATCGTTTCAGACAATTCCGCGGAATGGCATTTTTTCCTATTTTTTTCCTCCTGCAAAGTGTATTTAATGGTTAGGGCTTACACAGAATTTTCAAATATATTTTACGCGAAAACGCATAGTAAACGTGGAAAACAAACACAACTGTGTATGTTACTAGTTTGCGCACTACAAAACGAGCAACATTCGATAACGTAATAAAACTGTACGATTGCCGGCGATTGCCCATGCCAAGGCATCGGCATTAAACAATTAATTTCCTCTGTTTAATTTTATTAAGCAATTAATGTGTTAACAATTTGTTTTCTCTACTGCAGCATTACTGTAGTATTTCTGTAATTTTAAGTTGCATCTGTAACTGACATTATAAATTTGAGCTCAACTACCGCGTTGTATGTAAACGCGGATAGTGTGTTTAGGATGCGAAATACACTAAATTATAACTGATTGGAAATAAAAGCACCGAGGAAAACAAATAACGAAACTCTGTTTCTATTCGCAATTCTGCATTCGTCCGCTATAACATGGCCCTTGGAATATCATGAAAAATATCATCGCTCTCGCTGGTTCGCGTTCGGCATCGAGTCGGCGTAGCACGCTGAATGCACCTTCGAATCGTCAAACATTTGCGTTTGCCACATCCATCGAACGCAGGGCTGCTGCGCGAGAGAAGGGTGTGTAATACATCGCGGTAATACATACATGTATTACACATACGTATACCTTCCGCATACAAGCCGTAGAATTCGCGGGAACATAACATCGCGAAGAGTACATTACGCGCCATTCGTTCCGCACACTAAGACGACCCTAATGCATCCGATAACCGTTTTTCCAAGTCGGTCAAGGCTCCTTCGGGAAAATGCACTTCCACTCGAGACTTTTTTCACGCGCTCGCGGAAAAGGCGCGTCTGCGTCCAAATAGCCAACGTTCGCCCGTCGGTGAAGCCGGAGGTCGGTAAGCGGACGATCGAGGGGCCGGAGGGGGAGGGAGGGGGTATGATTTATCTCCCTCAGGCGCGAAGATTTTACCTCGGATGTTAGTTCCGCCGGTTGAACATCCAGATGGAAAGCGGGCGGCACGGGGCGGCGGCGCAAGGAAGGGCTGCCGCGAAGTTCTTATCGGCGTGTATATAATTTTCAGGTGGGTTCGCACAGTTAGTAAATATAGCACCGCCGCGGCCGCCCTTTGCCCGAGCGCGAAACTTGCTACGGCGGGATACTTACGACTGACATTTACTCCCGCGAAGCAACACATTGTTCCCCAAGGCGCATTAGGACGGATTTCCTGCGGTTAGACGGCTACGGTTTAGCGGTACGATTTTTGCGTGCTAAAGCGTTCGGCATCTCAGAGCGAGTAACTCGACACGCGAAGTTTTAGTCTTGAAGTTCAGTTCGCGAAACTTTATCGGAAAAGCAAATAGAATAAGTTGCAGTTAGAGTTAAAATATTGATTATAGAGATAAAAATAGAAATAAAATTGTGAGAGTCGATCCAAGTGGATATATATAAAATGTCTTTCAAGAATCATATAAGAAATTAAGATTTCTGGAACAATATCTGCTAAATTAAGAATAAAATAATGATAATATTACTGCTTTGAAGAAAAACACAAATCACCGTCCGTTCTATGATCGCCGTACACGAAGAATATTCGCGTTATTAAAAATCGTCTGTTTTATTATACGGATATTTTCAGTTCATAAATTGATTGCGACATAGAACTTCGAACGTTTCATGATTTTTATTGTTTTCGTATTTATTAACTTTAGAGAAAATATTTTATTTCAAGGTAACAATCTGTGTATGGAAAAATATAGAATTTTTTTCGGCCTCTTTTGTCTCTTTTTACATTTAATTACTTTTAACATTTAAAGCTATCGTCCCGTTGTTACAAGACCGGCACTGATTTTTGTAATGGGTCCCGACGGATAGCGAACCCGCGGTAATTAGGGCGGTAAAGTGGCCCTTACTCTGCACTCGACAGTCACGACAGACTGTTGTCGGTAAGTTGCTGGGCAGTTTGCTTTTGTCGGTGACCGAACCACTTCCACGGGTTTGTTTAAAAACAACGCCAGCCGTTGCGGTGTTATCGTAAGTTCTTCGCTCAGAACACCCGCCGGATAATCTCCCTATTTATAGAAGAGAGCGAAGTATCCCCAGTTTAAACGGACCTCACACGGCTTTCTTGACTTCTTTCTCGCAAATACACGTGAAAGATATAATCGGATTACACGTTTTGATACGTTCGGAGACGTTGTAGAATAACGCGCGCTCTTGACTGCATTCTACCGGGTATATTTTCTTGCTTCAGCGCTCTAGTCGGACAATTTTTTGCGTGCAAGCTAATAATTTTTGCGGATTTTTAGTAACGTAACCAAACAAGGGGATGCTGAAAGGAATGTGTTGTCTCATATTTTACGCTATACCTAATTTAAAGGAAGAACTTTATAAATATTTGACCAAAAATATTCCACTCAATTCTCCATTTTTAGTGTAAATACACTACACATTTTACGCGCGCGCGCGTTCAAATTATCCGCTGTAAATAAATAATATTTGACAATACTTTAGACTACCGACTATTTTTCGAAGGATTCGCTTTAGATACCACGGATAATCTTCCTCGAGGAGTTAGTCCGCCGCCGAAAACTAATGCGAGATTCGTCGTTATACAATGGCCTCGTCTCGTCACCGTCCGGTTTTTTCCGTTTTATTCCATTTATTTTTATTCCGTTCACGTACTGCTATGAAATTATTCACGCTAGCCGGCGACACATTGTGCCTCGCGGTTCTGGAAGAATAAGTGGCGAACATAAAACGCGCCTAGCCAAGGGAGCTCCGTTCGGCCGTAACGCGAACATGCTACGACGAGAATACATGATATTCGCTTCACGATTATTTTCTTCATCATGTTTTCGGTATTTCCACCCCCTTCTGTAAGCATGAGGGCGACAATTCGGCGAGATCACGTCGAGATGTCACGATAACTTACATCTCGCGGCTAAGCTTGGTTGTTATCATATATCTTTGCTTCGTCACGTATATGATCGAGACTGATATCACTCCAGTGAGTTAAATTTGCAGTATTATAAATATGAACAAAATTCATCTTACATTAATTAAATTCTAATCTTTTTGTGTAATCTTTTCCAAACGCGAAAAACATTAATTGCATCATTATATTGTTATTAGATTTTCTTCAGCACTGAAATCCGGATTTTCTAAAATGATATCGGTTCTAATATCCGTGCAAAAAAAAATAGCGCAAGTAATAATCGGCCGCGTTTTTGTTCTCGCTTTCAGCTGGGATGCCGACCATGGAATCTCAGTCTGACGAGCGTGATCATCCTGGCACTGTCGAACATGCTGCTGACGTTTCTGCTACTGCAATCGGAGACCTGCGCGCCGGAGGCGATCCCGCGAGAGGTGGAGGTGAGCGCGGTCACCGAGTGGAATCTCGGCTCCCTCGTCAAGCAGGAGCAGCAATCGGAATGCGTCACGCAGGATTATCAGCCAACGTCACCTGATACTAACAGTCTCAAGCTGGACATCAAGCTCGGCAGATGGGATGCCCGGCGGATATTCCGCACCTTTGACTCGGTTCTGGTCGGCAGCAGGTTCACAGAGCTGTCGCAGACGTACCGAGTGTGTCTGGCCACGCAGAGCTCCGTGGAGAAGCTGCATTCCCTAGTGCAGGTCGCGCTGCACTGGACCGGACCAATGTCCGTGGCGTTGTACGCCGCCGGCGATGAGGAGTTCGAGGTTATGCAGCGTTACTTGGTGTACCTGAGGAGATGTTACGAGTCCATCAGGGAGAGAGTGATCTTTTCTGTGGCCGTGCCGAAGATGCGTCCGCCCAAGAAGCAGCCGCGCGCCTTCGAGCTGCCGGACTTTGTCGATTGTGCCAAACCGGAAGCCACCCTGAACGAGCTCGCGAGTCGCATACCCAGCGAGCAGACCCATTGGCGGATACGGAACGTCTATCCGCAGAACCACATGCGAAACTTGGCGCGCAAGAACTGCCAGACGGACTACGTGTTCCTGACGGACGTCGACATCGTACCGAGTTTCAATCTGACGACCGCACTCGACGAATTTCTCAGGAGCGATAACTGTGATAAATGCGCCTACGTTATACCCACGTATGAGTTGGACACGCGCGTGAAGTTTCCCCAGAACAAGACGGAGTTGATTAGACTTGCGAGGAAGGGCTTGGCCAGGCCCTTCCACCAGAAGGTCTTTATACACAATCAATTCGCCACGAACTTTACGAGGCAAGTAACTCTTTATCAAATAACAACCCATTAATCATAAATTTCTCAAAATTTGGACATTCCATTGTAACTTGAACGTCTACTTTAATTAATCGGGGATAATCGAAATTATTAGAGCACTTAGATAATAAAATTGTTTACATAATCGATTTAGCACGCGTTGAATTAAATTGATTGAATCAATATAACAATGTGAATTTATAATGGCTTGCCTGTAACAAGCTACTATTATTTATATTTTAACAATAATTGTTTAATAATTTCATTATTCAGTTGTGTGGTCGTTTGATGAACGTAATTTATACTTGATTGAGACTTTGTATACGTAAAGCATGAATTGTTAACTAAGCGTACAAAATGTTATTTTGATGACGCGTAGCACGGTTGGGAATATTTTATTTTACAGGTGGCTCCAGGACGTGTCGGTGAACCATAAATATCATGAAAACGTGAAGACCGGCAAGGTCTACGTTAGCCACGACGTGACGAATTTCGAATTCCTTTACGAGCCTTTTTACGTGGCGAAGGATATCGCTCCGTCTCACGATGAGCGGTTTATGGGATACGGATATACGAGGAATACTCAGGTACGCGCGATATTTTCTAAGATACGTCTTTTTTTCTGTTTGCGCTCGCCATTACTGCGTGACGCATACGTTAGTGGCAGCGCGGAATCGAAAATGCAATTTTGCCCAAGCACGAAGTAACATAAAACGGTACAATGCAAAAGTTTACGTTCGATCCGATGGCATTGACGATTCACGTGCGCAATTTTTTCCGCTAATGTATGAAAATACTCGCATTGGGTAAGAGATAAGCGCGCACTGCGCTTATGTACACAAGTAACGTGCTTATGGCCACTATTTGCGAAATGTTTGCGAATCAGTCAGCAGCAAAATAATAGAAAAGTTTGAATTAAAAATACTCCCGCGGCAACATCACCGCCAATATTTTCGATGGAAGAGCGAATGTGCGCACAAGAGTGATAAAGAATATAAATGGCTCAGACCCGAATGCGTCCGTGATAATTGCACGAACGTGGTATGATATTTTACCGCACGGTTTATCTTAACGTTAGGAGGTAAAAGGTACTCCATCGAATATTAATATACCTTTCGAGGTATTAATGGAATTAGCAGATAAATGGCAATAATGGACGGTAGATATCGGCCATTACGTTTCTACGCTCATCTGTAAATAGCATAAATTACACTAAAAGATATATATTTTGGGGTATTAACGGTAAAAGCGGTAAATCCTGCACATGTATATTTTGTCAGCTTGATGCGTCACAGTATTTCGCTAACTAAAAACGACGTTTGGCGAGCGGAAAAATCACGCGGACACAGCAGCGTGAACTTCGCGTAAAGTTTTACACGAGCGAGATGTGTGTGTTAGCGAGATTGTAATGTAAGCAGCGGGGGAAACGGCCGGAGAAAGGGGACAGCGTGGTGGGTAGTTCGAGAATAGCAAACTGGAATGAGCGTACCCTCGCGCACACCCGGGCCATTAATTGAATTACATATTATCATTGCCGCGCCGTTATCGGACGATGGAGGCTCGTTTTGCGGAACGGGCATTATTCAATTTAAACTTGATGTATCTTCGGCCGTGTAATCGAACGTTTGCATATCGGCGCGGCGTGTAAATTGCGTTCGCTAATGTACTTTACAGGCGCGTTATCCTCGCGCGAATTGCAAAGAATCGCAAATTTCTTAGGTAACATCAAACTTCGAAACTTCGTCACGTAGTTGGTGGCGAATCAGGCGAGGAAACTTTGATAAATCGGAACGATAACCAATCTCACTCCAGAAGTTAAAAGTAGAATCAGAAAAATAATATTCATGTTGAACTTTGTTTTTTTTTTTTACGGAAATTTGTTGAAGTATACTTTTTATTTCGCAGCTGTTTGAACGTAGCTGCAAGAGAGAAGAATCATGACGAGTGGAGTCGCGGTAGCCTACGAAAGGTTATTTGTGCCGGAAACCGCAAAGCGGACGTGAGAACCTTTCCGGTCCGTTTCCAGTCCATATACGGAGTTTGCATACCTCTGAGCGCATACACGTCCGTTCATGGGGTGGCACGCGGATGCCGCGTTGTTTCGACGGAGAGCTACGGCGCTCGTGGTTTCCGACCTCACGGCGAAAATAACGAAATTCCATCGCGCGGCGAAAATCCGGGCACGACGGCCGTGCGCAGTGGTCGCATTCGTAAAACGAAGTATGCGAAGTACCTACCGGCGGCAATAAAACGGACGTAAATTCGCGTATGTACGTATCGGCGTTACGTCGTCGACAGCGAACGGTCGTGTGTAACCTCTGTACGTTTGCGATAGTAGTGATGGCGGCGTGTGGTAGTGACGGTGATGCGGCCGGTACAACGCGCGGGCGGAAGTATACTGGTACATCGGTACTCGCGTCTCCTCTGCGGTTCGCGCAGTACAACATCCATTCATCCCTCCGGAGGAATGAGAATGGGCATCGTCCGTTCTCTCTCCTCAACCCCGCGACACGGTTCGGTTAACCGCCAAAGCCTCATTTCCATCGTGTATAATACTCAGGCCTAGCTATCGCTTCTTTTGGCAACGCAACGTTTGGCTCTCATCCGGTTTATTTTTTAAGTTTTTTTTTTAAATTGTTTTCCGTTGTTCTCTGTGCCATTCATATTACAAGAAACTTTTAGCAAATTTGTTGAAACATTTTATTTAGCTGTGTACCTCGATTTCCGAATATCACGTAGTTACATTGTTTTTCAATTGTATGCTCAATTCGATCAAGTTCACACATTGCACACTTGCCGTCGAATTTTAAAACGTCAGCTGACGCCTTTCCTTTTACCATCCTCGCGCATATGGTTGCGCGTTTCTCGCGAGAACGCACATCGCCGTCGATCGGTGTTTTATATTCGCGTTAATTAATCTTCGGTTGTTTGCGTATACAATGCACGAGGACAATGCGGTATGCGCCATAATCGCGATGCAATTACGCCGGTTTCCCGGCTTGCCTCGATTGCATGCGCTAAAATGAGCATGTTAATTGCCGATCGATTCGTTAATTCTCCGTGCCGGCACCCCTGCGTGGCCTTTGTCCGGCCGCGAGCCGGGCTTAACGTTCCCCCCGATACAACCTTCAATTACCCGTCGACGTACCGGGCGATTGTCGACGCGGCTAATATAAAGGATTTGGCCCAGCGATGTGCGGCACGCGCTCACTCGCGATTCCTATCTACATCGGCGATCGATCCTGTCATCGTCGATTCGACACGCCAACGTAGTCGGACCTCGAGGGATTCTTTATTGTCGTGTTTATCGAGTTCGCCGATCGCGTCGGCACGAACCCACCTCGGCTTGATATCTCATCAGACCGGTGTTATCGGATTGATTCCGGGGCTCCCAGGGCTGGCGCGCCGCGATAAGCGAGATAAACCTGGCGCGACGTCAAAGTGTAAAAGAATAAAAACGCGGAAATAAAAATAACCGAAAGATTTTCAGAAGAATATGTTTTTGACTCGAGTCGAGTTTTATAAAATCTGATTATTCGCAAATTCAGCAAATATCATCAGGAAAGAAAATTAATATTGTTACTGCAATAATTAATTGAAAAAAAATATATATAATAGCATCGATCATTGTACAAACAATAGAAATGTTCGTAAAAGATACTAATATTAATTGAAAAGAACAATTATTGATTTACAAATTGCCAAAGCTGTTGTAATTGCGAAAGTCAATACTGCTAGCTTCGTGCGCGCCGCTCATATCGGATGGCACCGTCGCCGTTCACTACCTGACACTTCGTTTCTCGTCGAACCATTATCACCCCAGGTCAATCCATAATGGCGATACGTTCGATTCGAGGACGAGATCCTGCCGGTACAAGCGTAGCAAGTATGTCGCTGTCGTGCAAGAAGTGGCACCGAAGTGACGCACGCGAGCACCTCGCAGGTGACTGCAATCAAATCGGAAACGAGATAGTCTTTCCTAGACGCTTCAACGTAGCAGTCACTCCGCGGTGATTGAGCGATTCCGCCGACCGGGGTTATAAATCAAAGGCGAGCCGGCACGAATGGAACGAATCCGATTGCCCGAGCCGCTAGCTCGTGGACGGCCGGCTCTTTCGATCGTTTACAATTCACAGGAAATCACGGAACACGGAGCTCGAATTCGCGTAGTGTAGTCGCTGAAAGTGTGAGAGAAGAAACGAAACACCGGAGGCGTAAGTAAAAAATTAGACTCGATTCCTCGTAACCTTGGATTCACGGAAATCGAATGTTATTTCAAGTCCGACTCGCTTCGGCTTTTATTACTGATTAAAACGTTCGACGTATTTACAGAGGTATGCGACGAATGTTGACGAATTATTTCGCATCGCATGCGACTCGTTAATGTTCGATCCAGCTTTTGACATAATTTATTTCAGTTTAATTCGTCCGATAGCATGCTGTTAATTTTTGACGTGACGCGCTTTTGCGTCAAATATGATTCGTCACGTATTTCGTAAATGGATGTTTAATGCAGAATTAAATGATGTTAAATAAGTAAATTTTATTTTATTTCACATTACGCGCGTATTTAAATTTGCATTGGTAGCAAAGTGCTGAGCAAATTAACCCGCGAATTCGAATTATCGGCGCATATATCAAGTGTCATATAGCGTAGCGGCCGTATTTCATAATGCAAATTCGATAATGGAGCAACAAAAATCTTATTCGGCTCCCGAATATCGGCGCGTATCGGCACTATTTCAATGCATCTATGCGTTTAATTATTCCCATGCATTTCTGGCGATCTTTTTCCGCTAACCGTTTTATCATAATTGAATCGGGGCGAAAGTGATTTTCGATTAGGCGTTCGGGTATTCCGCGCAGCACGTCGGCAGTCAACGATCCAACTCGATCCAAAGGGTGTCCGTAATTTAGCGGCTAATTCTCTCGTGCAAGATCAATGGCCGCGGCTCGCAGGTACCGTGTAACAAGCGGCAATTTAAGTGTCTCGCAGGATAATGCAAGTTCTCTCTCTCGTACGAGAGGATCGATCGGGTTTAACCGCATCGTGTGAGGCAGAGTCGCCGCATTTAATCAGTGAGAAATGATACGCCTTTCACTTCTTAATGTATACTGTGAAAACAAAAAATATTTTTGGCACCAATCGTCACTGTAAAAATTTCTCTAATGGAATTCAAATTCACTTAAAATTACGGTTTCCACGCTTGCTAGTCGCCCCCTCGAGAGTTTGCGTTCCACTCTCTTGTCCTCGTCGTTTTAATTCTGTTCCAAGTTGCACCGCATCCGGTGCCCCCCCCCCCCTCCCCTCCCCACCCTAATGCTGAGAACGTAAGATAAGTGGAGACGTCGTATGGCAGCGGCGGCGGCGGGACGCGTCGCATTCACGAGGATTTACGTCGACGTGCGATGGCATAAAACTCAATTATCAGATTTAGCCCGCCGCTTACTGCCACGTAGCCGGCATATTACGCGGCGATGCCATTTGGAAAAATTATACGACCCTATATATTACGGCGTCATCCCGCCGTATCTTATATGCATGCGCCGGCACGTCTTCATTTTAATGCGTGTCACTTTTTTCGCG